TGAAGCATAAATCCTTTATTTTTTGGTCATGGAGGAACTTTCGGTCATTATTTTTTTTATAAGTTTAGGCAAAACATTTGATTAAAAGCATGAGAGTTGCTTGATTTGATTTTTGAAAACTGGCTTCACGGAGATGTTAAGTGGAGCAGAAAATCCTAGAAAAGTTTATAATAATGAATTTGTTTGGGTAAAATAATATTAGCTATTAAAATGAAATGAATAATAGGCCATCTACTTGGAAATAACGTCTTTGAAGAAAAGAGTAATTGGAATGAAAGGAACGCATGATGAAGTGGTTTGGGGTCCCTGCGGTGATGTGGGTTCTCTTGGTACTATCAGACTCATTCCTCATGCCTTTGCCCGCTCTTTCAGAGTGCCCTTGCGGTGTTAAAATTGTGTGTAGTCTTAATCCTGCTGTAACTTGTGGCCCTTTTTCATATGATGCTTAGTTTGGCTAGAGCATTGAAAACAATTTCTAAATGGAAAGACAAATACAATGTTTATATCTAACCTATCGAATTAAAGCCAACATCACAGTCACTCTCAATCTGATTATTGCTAATTTCCGGAGAGATGCATCCCGTCCCCCTCACTGTTCTCGCCAACATTTCTGAGAGCTCTTTCATCTACTCACCCATCACCTCCTCCTGTGTGTCTCCTCAGAGTTCTAAAGCTTTCCAATTTTAACTGTCCAGAGGTCGGTTCAGATTAGTGGATTTTACAGCAAACTCTTGTCCTTTATTGCCTTTGTCTTGGAGGTGAACAGCAGTGAGCGGACAGCCGACTGGGCCTCCCCAGAACACACACGGCTCAGAAGAGACAGTAGAGGAGGCAGATGACAGGGAAGAAAATGAACCACTGGAATTCAAGGAAAAGGGGTTGCAAGTATTTTAATTGGGGGCCCAGCTGCGAGAGGCACTGTTACTCCTGGGGCTGGAAGTCGGCTCATGCATGGGTAGAAAAGTGTTCCCAATGCTTTCCCCATGTTGGCCTTTGGGGGAGGAAGTGCAGCCCTCTAGGGGCACATTTCATCTCAAATCTGGGCTGTTTCTGATGGAGGAACACAAGGATCTGAAGACTTTGCAGACATTATCAGGGCCTTTGTTTCTCTCTTGCTCTCACACCTCAGGGCAAAGGAGTTAGGCTGGACGGCTGGATTGGCTGTAAATTTGAAAACCAGACTCTGAAGGATGGCAGTCTATGGGGAAGAATGATGAAATTCACAATCTTTGAGGCAAAAAAAAAAAGAAAAAATTTTAAAAATTCAAACATCTTTTGTTCCAAGTTGATAATTCTGTTCATGATAAGGTTAAATGCTGTTTTTACATGGCTGTGCCCTCCTTCTACCCTTTAATGGTTAAAATTTCACTGTTCACATCTTAACACAAAAAACCAATAAAACCAATTTGATATGATAGTCAGAAACAGAACAGACCTATAAGAAAAAAATTCAGGAATTCTGTTCTACTCCCTCATTCTTTAGATATGTAAATGAAATCGAGAGAGATCCAGGCTTCACAAATGTGGTAGAAACTCCAGTTGTACTAATCAGAGACCAGATTATATTTCTTTTCATCCTTGCCAACAAACATCCTGAGTGAATTCAAATTTCTAATGCAGTTACCAGTGTTTGACTTATAAAATTTGCAGGGAATGTGCCTTTTAGGAAAGAAAGCATGACATCATTTTTGGAAAAATAGTATTTGGGTGCCCTTTTTCTTCTCCATCTAGATGTTTTGATTAATCTCTTTCATTCTCTGGCTCTGAATAGAGCTATCCAGAAGAGTTCTTTCCCTGTCAGACTCATCTAAAACATTCTACTGGAGATTAGAGTACAAGGACAATAAACATCATGTGGACTTTAATTTTTGCCTGACCAGTTTCAAACTCAAAAATGATCATGATATTACTGATCGCAACTGCAGTTGGTTTAGTGCTCTTTGAAGAACCGTTTTCTTTAGTGTTCTTAGATGTGTCAGACTTTGCCCTTCACATTTCATGAATTTTTTCTTTAAGTGTATGATGTAGATGGTGTTTTTATTGTTTTCCTTTTGTAAGCAAGACCGAGGCTGAATCTCTGGAACTTCTTTGAATGTTCAAATGACTTGTCCGAGATTGCAGAGCCCAGATATGGTTATTTCCAGTTTGGTATCTCTCTCTGATGCAGATGTTCACAGTCTTTCCCTGTAATTGTTTTAACCTCACATTTTGATTTCCAGACATTCACGCTCTTTCATTTTTAGAAATGGCGATGCCTTTTGCACAGAAACAGTTAATCAGGATAAGTTCACCTGGGGCTGGTGAGATAGCATAGCGGGTAGGGCGTTTGCCTTGCATGTGGCTGGCCCGGGTTTGATTCCCAGCAACCTATATGGTCTCTGAGCACTTCCAGGAGTAATTCCTGAGTACATGAGCTAGGAGTAACCCCTGAGCATTGCCAGGTGTGACCCAAAAAGCAAAAATAAATAAATAAATAAATAAATAAGTTCACCTAATCAATAGAGCACCCCGAAGAATAGAATTTGGCTATATCACATTTTTTAAATGTTTTAGAAAGCAACGAATTTATGACCTGTTATAAAGGTAAAGGTAAAGGCCCTCCTGTTGTTATCGATTTGCTCGAGCGGGCCCAGTAACGTCTCCATTGGAGATTTTGTTGTTACTGTGTTTGGCATATCGAATACAACACGGGTGGCTTGCCAGGCTCTGCCGTGCAGGCAAGATACTCTCGGTAGCTTGCTGGGCTCTCTGAGAGGGGCGGAGGAATCAAACTCGCGTCGGCCATGTTGGCTGCGTGCAAGGCAAATGCCCTACCACTGTGCTATCGCTCCAGCCCATGACCTGTTATAATGAGGATATTTGTTTGTTCTGTCCGAGGAAAGGGAGCTGTCCTTTAGCCTCCGAGCTGACATTCTAGTCTCAGTCCTTTCATTCCCTGCTTCCCTAGAATCTGATTTCCTGGCAGGTGAAGCAAACCATACAGCTCTACCACTCGCCATGCTCACAGCTGCCTCATCAAGGCCTTTCCCCCTGAATATTAGGATTCTTGGCTCTGCCCGAGGGGCCATTGTATGACACCGTTTTCTGATTTACGCATTTATTTGTTTTCTTTTACTACCAATGATTTGTTTCTGGTGATTTAGATAGATCTGACCTTAAAGTCAATTTTCCATCTCATGGAGGACCTCTCTTTAGGATATCTGTACCCGGGGCAGAAGATAGTACAGCAGGTATTTGCCTTTCGTGAGACTTACCTGCATTTGATACTTTGTACCACAGGTGGTCTCCTGCGGACTGTCAGGAATGATCTCTGAGCACAGAGCCAGGAGCAAACCCTGAGCTCAGGCACATGTGACCCAACTCCCCCACCCTCCAAAAATTGCTTCCAGGATAAGGCTTCAAGTTACTTCTGGCTTATATCTGAGATCTAGAACCACTGGTCTTAGAAAAAGATGCATGAATGGGCCAGATTCATTTCAGGTCTTTGCAAGGGAGGTACTTAGGGAGGTTATGCTCAGTACACATGTCAAAGCTAGTAGGCTTCAAGAATAGGGTAACCTGTCCTGGTAGTTCTCAGCTTGCTTCCATTAACTACAACTTGAATTATTCTGGAATGTGTTTTTGAAATTTTAAAACTTTTTGGATGTAGTTTGAGTACAGTTATGTTCATTTGAAGAGAGCTCAAACTCAAAACTCAATGGGTCGGTTTCTTTCAGTTGTGTGAACTGTTGAACACACTTAATGAATGCATAGAATATACAAACAAGTGGTATCTTCTGCTATGCATGTTATTTTCTTTAAGCAATTGGACTGTCAGCAATGGTTATCTAAGGAGTAACAAAGTTGGTGACAGGAGAGGTAGAGAGACAGAGACACTGACAATAAAAATGATTGCGCATTTTCTGTGGTGATAGGAAGCTCTCTCAGCATTTGGGTTTTAAAACCTTTTTTTCTCCTCTCAAAAAAAATTAATGCTTTTTGTTCCCTTAATTTTCCTATTTTTGATTTATTCATAAACCAAATTCACAAGCCAAGGTGCAGCATACTGATCGAAGTGAGCATTTTGTAATAAATCCTTGTTCCTCTATGTTTTGGGGTGTGTTCAGAACTTTGTTTTGTAACTGATTTTTATCTACTGTATAATCAGAATTCTGCAACCTCATAAGAAGATACTAGAATAAAAGGGTTTTTTTTCTATGCCTGCTCCAGCGACTCCTGGTGCCTCTTGCCACTATACTCATCAGTAAAATCCCACCCCATCAGCATTCAAAGAGGAAGGTCCTACTAAGCATCAGCCTTACTGCAGGATACCCAATAAACGTTTGTGGAGCAGAAAATACCTGCAGAGCAATCACAGAATTCAACATGCTACCCACCATACATGACAATAGGTTTGAAGGGTGGAAAGTACAAATACTGGGCTTTTCAACTGATCACAATCAAATCAGAACACATCCAAACAGCTGGTGTTCTGTGACTCAGACTCAATCAACCAGTTTGAATCACCTCACTTCTTTATTTCTCTTTAGAGTTTCACAGAGAGATTTCAACCAACATATGTCCTTCCCATTTGGTTAAATCCGAGCATTGAGTTGCTTTGCTTTCGCATTCTAATATGAGCAACTGAAACTCACTGTACTCAAAAGGCAAAAAAAAAAAAAAAAAGAAAAAAAAACAAAGGCTCACATGAAAATGAAGTTTTTTTTTTAAATGATGTTTCTCCATTGCATTCCATAAACCATATGCTTAAATAAAGCACCATAGAGAAAAGCAGGAGAGATAAAGGTTGTAATATGGAGTGAGGGTAATTCTTGCATCATCATCACAGATGGAATTCTCAAGGATGGTGTGGTTATTGTACATTTCAGTCCAAGCTTATAATGTGTATTGTAATGATCGTGCAAATTGAGGTATCTCGGGAAATCCAAACAAGTTAGTGAATGAGAGGTCTAGATTCTGTGTTAGATTTTTGACATTAGCTCTTCTCTCTTTCCTGATAGGCACCGATTACACCATTCTTGGGCGAAAGCGATTGGGCCGTGGTAACCTCTTCCAATCGAACACTCTACAAATTATTATCTCTGGACTTCCAGCTGACATCCTGCCGGAGGCAAGAGCAGCTCAGCCAACTGGAACTGTGCCTTTTCTCTTGTCAAGGTTTTTTTCTTACACAGGAAAAAGAAAGAAAAAAAAAAGATGAAGTTGGGCAGAGTGGAGTTCTGCCATTTGCTGCAGTTCATAGCACTTTTCCTGTGTTTTTCTGGCATGCATCAAGCAGAACTTTCAAGATCCAGATCGAAGCCCTATTTCCAATCGGGGCGGTCCCGGACCAAGCGCAGCTGGGTGTGGAATCAGTTCTTTGTGCTGGAGGAATACATGGGTTCAGACCCCCTCTATGTAGGAAAGGTAGGGCATTTTGTTCTTTCCATCTTGGTCGTGATTGCTGGTCACGTTCTGTGGGGACAGAAGGACCTGCTCTTTGCCCTGGGGTTGGAAAAGTAATCTGTCGCTCCTACGATGTAGCATATCTTATCAGGTTGTTGGTGCTAGCCGCTCTGAAGTTTTAGTACAGGTATATTCTACTCTGTGTCATGAAGTCCAAATGGATGGAGTGATGTTTCACCCTAGAAGCAGACTATAATGCTTGGGTACCTAGATCAGGATTCTCGCACACAAAGCCGCGGTATGGAAGCTTAGAACAAAAATATTTGTTCCTCAACGAAGAGTAGTGGGCTGATACAGCCAATGAGAATTTAACTTCTTTTTATTTGTGAGGGGTGTGCCATGCTAATGAGACATTAACTCTATACTTAGAGATTGTTTTGCAGTTGAAAATTGCAGTTTTTGAGCAGCCTGTTGTCTCAAACTTGTGAGAAATTTAGCCCCACGTTGCCTAAGTTGGTCCTGTTTGGATGGATTAAACAAAAATAATTATCTGCTTTGCAAAAATTCCTTTTGTTTAAAAATAAGTGTGAATGGGAGTTAATTAGGAGTCATATCAGACAAATGGTGAGCAGATTGTGGTAGGTTTGGTTGGTGGCCAACTTGTTGCCAAATTGAGATGTTTCTCACAATCTCTTTCTGTCTGACTCCCTGAATGGGAGATTTCCCCTACAAATTGAAGGGCAATAAAGTCTGACTTGTCCCCTAAGTGTTATATGCACTGTTCCTCAACTCTATGATTTCAGTGACTTTCATATTTATAAAGATTTCTTGACTTTCTCAGTTTGGTGAGGAGCGTTGGGGAAAGTTTTCTAAAGAAAGTGGTTGATTAAAAATCTGTATAGACTTGAATTTCTTATCTTCACTTTCCCATCTGTGTCTACCTATGCTTGATACCATGAAGTATAGCAAACAGATTAATTTATCCGTGAGCACACTTTCTGCTTTAAATGATTGAGAAGAACCACCTCTTTATTCACTGTGTAAATTTACAGCTGATTACACTTTTATCGTGAGACTAAGGAATAATGTTTTGTTGTTGGGTTATCTGCATAAATCAGGAAACTATAATAATTATTTTATTAAGTAGCCCTATAGTTTGTAAATACTGATACTATAACTGAAAACCAAAGGACTTGTGTATGTTAGAATTTCTAGGAATGTAGATTCATTCATTCCCATGTTTCTCAGCCCTAAATAAATGTTTCTGGAAATGCAAGGATTTTTTTTCTGCATTTCTAATTTCTTATAGCATTTACATCCATAGTACCACCATCTATATTATACACTGAAAATCATACAAGAGAATCATACACTGATTCTCTTAATTTTTGTACTTTGTATTCTTGTAAACTAAGAGTGATAGCTATGATGCATTGTTATTGACTAGAAATCTAGTTCTTGATTTCATTCATTTTTAATGAGCACTTAACAAATCACCCCCCCAAAGGACAGATCTATACCAGTTACTTAATTCATAAAATATCAGAGTTAGATGAAATCATGCTTTTCTAAGAATCTAAAAAATTTGGAAAGCAACTAAGCTATTCCTATCATTTTAGCTATAAATGAAGTTCCCTGGATACAGAAGGCATTTTGAAATAGAGATAATTTTTAATAAAATCTCCAGCCTTTTCTTTTATTAGGTTATTATTTTGGGGGTCTTTGGGGTCGCATCTGATATACTCAGGGCTTACTCCTGGTTCTGTGCTGAAACACCACCCCTGGTTAGGGTTCAAACTGAGGTCAGACAGGTGCTCAACCGTTGCCTCTCTCCATAGTATCTCTCCAGCCACTAAACATCCTTTTAAATCTTATCATTTTTACACACTAACTCAGATTATTTATATCCTAATAACTACTGGTAAATCAATTCATAATTATGATAAACCTTGCCCATAGTGTTACTTAAAATCCAAATACATTAGGACCCAATGGGACGAGCTATTATTTTATAAAGAAAGTTATGTGCTTCTTTAGTGAAGCTCGTTCTCTACATCCCTTTAAGTGATCCTACTATCTTTTAATATTTTCTGTATCAGGAAACAAAAAAGTGCTTATGTCTTACATATTACATTCTGGCAGTTCTCTTAGGGAAACAAGAGATACAGATACTCTTGGGGAAATGCTCATGATATAATTTTTTTTTAAAAAAAACTCTTACTTGACTAAATAGAAGAGAAGGACAGCTAAAGAATTTGATATGGGAAAAATTATTTGGTAAGGTCTTTAAGGAGCACTTCTATTTACTTGGAAAAGGTGGTGAGTGACTAGAGCACTGTATTTAGAGTATGAGGGATAGAAGAATCTTCTGGAACATGGTGGTCTGAGTCCGCAGACATCTCAGAGGCACTTTGACCTCAGTATAGATATTTTTTTTAAGTTTGTAGGGATAATAGCTCTCACTTGAGAGTCTTTTATTCTGCACAAACAGAAAAAAATAGAGGAAAATGTAGAGAAAATCAGCAGACCCGGAAAAGAAAGCTAATTATTCCCTTTCACACTCATGCATTTAACTTACACTAGTTAGAGGGCCACATCTTTGGTTTGACAAAATCTAGCAGCTGAGGTCATTTGGAAAACGGAAATGATAACCTGGTCCTCTAGATGATTGCTGCACATGGTGAAGGAGTATGGGATATATTCTCTTGACTTCAGTTTTGTTGTGGAGTCTACCCCTTCCTGTGAGTTGTATCACTTTGGGCAGGCTGTTTCCTTCTGTCTGAGATGGTAATCATGATACAGACCATGCAAGTTACTTGATTAGAATAAACGAGATGAAAATGTTTGAGATATGTGTTTAATTAATCTAGACTTGATTATATTCATCTACTTCACTGCATGTTACAAATAAACTGCTGAGTTGTGAGTAATCTGTCACGTTATGTGTTCAAGTTTGTATTGTAATTCTTCAAATGGAAGAAGGCACTATTCTATATGCAAAATAGTACTTAAGCTCATTACATTTATTACAGAAACTGCTTAGTTTAGATGTGCTTAGAAATGCAGGCTGTCCTTTTCGGGGGTATCATGCTCAGGACTCATTCCAGGCTCCGCGCACAGGGATTACTAATGGCAGGAATGGGGGGGATAATATGTGATTCCAGAGATCGAGCAAGGCAAGGACCTACCCTCTGTGCTATCACTCCTGCCCCATCTTGTCTTTAGAGATGTCTTCAATCAGACTTTGAGAAAACCATATTTGTGGGCAAAAGACTCAGTCCTTAAACTGGTTATGTACTTATTTATTTTTGCTTTTTTGGGTCACATCTGGTGATGCTCAGGAGTTACTCCTGGCTCTGCACTCAGGAATAACTCCTGGCAGTGCTTGGGGACTATATGGGATACTGGGAATCGAACCCAGGTCGCCCGTGTGCAAGGCAAATACCCTACCTGCTGTACTATCACTCCAACCCCAAACTAGGATTTTAAATGTCAGAGAAACCATGACTGTAAGTCCTTTGAACCATTGAATGTGGATATGCTATTTGTGACTAGTGGCCAAACCAATGGACACAGTTCTTCCGATTGGTCGTTAAGACAGAGGGGATAAATGATATTTTATTCAATTTACTGGGTTGAACACAACTTAGGAACAAAGAAAAATAGTCTGTTGAAAGGGGTTAGGAGAAGTGCTTCTAGTACCATCACTGAGGACACTCTGGACCCAAACTTCTGGGATGTGTTAGAATTGGTTGGTCCCACTGTGCTGCTGTGAGCTGTGACGTGTCGCTGATATGGAGGTGTGTCCATGAGAATAAACAGCTGCTGCTGGAATTCAGAGGCAAAGAACTCTCTGTGGATCCTTTAGTGGTGAGCTCCCTGGGCCCTTATCCTGGAAAAGGCCAGGGAGAGTGAGATGGAGAGACAGTCCCTTCGTTTCTCCTTGACTTTGGGCTCGTATGTGCAGGCCACTGCACTATGCTAGACCATCCTCTCTCCTCCACTTGTCATTTCCCCCTCCACGTTCCCTGGCCATCTGACAAACGGATGTGTCTGGCGGCCTCTGTTGCAGGGCTGAAGTGTTTTTCATCTCCCCTAACCACCAGGGGCTGCCTGCCGCTCTCCACGCTCCGGGTCATTACTTTCCCTGAAATGTGGGTTCTGTGTCTCGCTCACACTCGGCTCCCTCGCTGCGCCCATCACTCCTGGCTTTTCCGTGACACCCCTTTATTCCCTCCTCATTCAGAGACAATTGATGACTAGGAGCCCCATTCAAATCAAATCCAAAGACCTGCCGTGTGGGGTGCTCCCTGCTCTCTCCACGCCCATGTGCTCATCACGCCAAGTGCTCTCCACGTGCTTAATTATCTCTCCTGTTAACACAAAATCTCACCCAGGGCCTCTCGGTCTTCTGAAGGCTCCAGCTGAGTGTTCAGAGTTCCAGAAAAGAAAGTGGGTTGTGTTCAAAAGGAATACCCTATGAACTACAAAGTAGGTGGGGATTTTTTTATTAGCACCAAGAAATGAAGATATTGCATCCACAGTATTAATTGTGGGGAGAAGAGCATGTTCATCATAGTAAATTTATGATTGGTAGATTTCAGAGGAGAACAAGCATCAGAAGTGGACTTTCAGGATGTTGTTCGTCTCAGGAAGAAAAGATGATGTTGGGTTTGTTCCCTGTGTATGTCTAGAAGCCCTGTTTTCCATATATATATATATATATATATATATATATATATATATATATATTTGCTTTATGGGTCATACCCGGCGATGAACAGGGAACTGGCTCTGCACTCAGGAATTACTCCTGGCGGTGCTCAGGGGACCCTATGGGATGCTGGGAATCGAAACCAGGTCGGCCACGTGCAAGGCAAACGCCCTACCCACTGGGCTATCGCTCCAGCCCCCTACTATATTTCTAACCAGAATAAATAGAGAAGACTCTTGTTGATGTTGTTACCCTACTTTGCTAGTAAAAGTGGGATATGTGGTTGTTTTCCAAAGAATTTGGGCAT